CCACTAAGAGAATGAAAAAACAAGCTGGAGACTGGGACAAAATATTTATAAAGCCTGTATCTGGTAAAGAACTTATATCAAAAACATTTAAAGAACCATCAAATCTCAGTAGAGGAGTTGCAGACTTAAACTGCAACCATATGTGAAACAGACTGGCTAACTAGAGGGCAATGTTTGTATGCAGTTCTTACTGTTTTTAGCCAGACCTATCCAGGAAAAATACTGTTCTCCAAAGGTATTTAGTTTAGTTCTTTTCTTTACCATCCCCTTCAGTGTTGTTATGTTATCCACTTGTAATTGTATTAGTTGTCTTTTGCTGCATTACAAGTGACAACAGCTTAAAACAGCACTTATTTACTGTCTATGGGGTCTGTGGGTCAGGAGTCTGGGCTTGAGAAGCAGCTGATCCCCTGCTCTGAGTCTTGCCAGGCTGGCTGACATGCATGTCTCACATGTCAGCTGGGGCTGCGATCTCATCTGAGGGTGGGTTTCCCACTCCAAGCTCACTGGCTTGGCAAAATGCAGTTTGTAGAACTGAGGCCCTGACACATGGCCCTCTCCACATGTGGCAATTTGCTTCTTCAAGGCCAACAGGAGAGTGTCTCTGCTGCCTCAAATCTATCTTTTCCAGAAGGACTGATCCCCTCTTTTAAGGGCTTACCTGATTTGGTAAGGCCCACCCAAGATAATGCCCCCTTGATTAACTCAAGCCAACTGATTAAGGACCTTAATTACATGTGAAAAAAATCCCCTTTTCCATGCAATATAATGTAACTGTAGAGTGACATCCTGTCCTATTCATAGGTCCCACACACACACTTAAGGGGAGGCCACTGTAGGGGGCCATGTACACCAATGGTTGAGAAGCTTTGAGCCATCTTAGAATCCTGACAACTGTAGTAGTTAGTTAGGTTCCTTTGTTACTTTTCATATTTCATTTTGGTGTTTCCCCACATGGTTGATTTTAACCCATTTATTTTCTTATATCTTCTTTTTTACATTAAGGATAGCATACTACAGACATTGTTATGCACTTTGATTATTTTACTTAACAATATAATATATCTTGGCAATCACACATATCATTTCTTAGAAATTTTCCTTACTTTTTTGTATACAGTTGCATAATATTCCATTGTTTGTGTGAATACACCATAATTTATTCAACCACTGTCCTGTGAATGGGCACTTCAGTTGTTTCCAATATTTGAAATTATGAACAATGATGCAGTGAGTAACCTTGTGCCTATATACTTTCATATTGTTGGACAGGGTAGATTTCTAGTAGTGAGATTGCTGGGTTGAAATATATATTGAATATATTGAAATATATATTAGGTTATTAGTTTTTTGTAGTATATGTTAGGTCATATTAAGTGCTAAAAAGCAAAGTGTACAGGGAAAAGTTATATTATTAGGTTTATAAACATTGAATAAGTTTATTAGCCCTTTGTCATATATATTACAAGTATCTTCTCCCAGTTTCCTGTAGGTCTTTTCACTTTTTAAATAACATCTAATTATAAAAACATAAAAGTTTTTATGTAATTAAATTTATCAAACTATTCTTTTATCGCCTTTGGATTTTGAGTCATAGTTACAAAGGTTTCTCTCTATCAAGATTAAAGATCAATTCATTCATGTTCTCTTCTAGTACTTGTACGGTTTTGATTTTACATTTAGATTCCCTAATCCATTCAGAGTTCAGTCTTGTGTATGGTTTTGAGATAAGGCATCTCACCTTATATTTTCCAGATGGTTACTCGATGTCTCAGCACTGTTTATTATACAGTATATTGACCTAAATAATATGAGATGCCACCTTTAACTTTCAATTTTAAAACACTGAATACAGTATATTATGTGTACTATGTGTACAAAATTGTAGTGCTTCTAGATAATATTGTCTCCTTCTGGAGAGAACTTAATTTATTTTGGTGGGCAGTTAAAGAGAGGTCACACTTACCCAATCAAAGTCTTGAGATGATTCCAGACTGATTTCAGGCTTTGTAAGAGGTTGCCTATTTCTTGGCAACCTTTGTTCCTCCTCCTAAGGTGTAGTCTCTTGGGGTCTCAGTGAAAATCCTGGGGTCTTCATCAGGTTCCCTCCACATCGACAAGACCCAAAGTCTGCTTTGTGTGTACTCATCACCGTGAGACCACTGAAGTGGTAGAGTAGTTGCCACTTTTTTACATGGCTTTTCTGCCTTTTTGCCTGTGTTACTCAGGAGTAAGGCCTGCCTCCTTGGCTGCTCTCTAAATATCTGCACCTTAAAATATCTGGGTTTTTGAAAATACTTTATCCATCTTTTATAAGCATTTTTAGTGAGAAGTGTAGTCTGATACCCTCATGGCTTGAAGCAAACATTTGAGAATGTTTACAATGATGACTCAAATTAGTGATCTGAAGATTAAGCCAACAATGTAATTTGAACCACAGAGTAAACCCGAAAAAATAGAGAAATGCATGAAAAACAGTAGACTAGAAGGACAGACCCAGGAGATCCAGTTTGCAAATACTGGGGCTTCTAAAAGAAGAAAAATGAAGAGATTGAGGAGAGACAATAATTAAATAATAGAAGACATTTTCTCTGAGTCAATTAATGACCCAAATCTGTACATAAAAACTGGGTTCTATGTGAGACTGTGAAGGAAAGATATACATAAAGCATAAGTCTGTAAAAGTCCTGGACTCTAAGTCCTTTCAGACAAAAGAAACACAAATTACTTATAAAAGAAAATCATTAAAAAATGGGCAGAGGATATGAATAGACACTTCTCCAAAGAAGAAATCCAGATGGCCAACAGGCATATGAAAAGATGCTCCACATCACTAATCATCAGAGAAATGCAAATTAAAACCACAATGAGATATCACCTCACACCAGTTAGGATGGCCACCATCCAAAAGACAAACAACAACAAATGTTGGCGAGGTTGTAGAGAAAGGGGAACCCACCTACACTGCTGGTGGGAATGTTAGCTAGTTCAACCATTGTGGAATGCTATATGGAGTTTCCTCAAAAAACTCAAAATAGAAATACCATTGGACCCAGGAATTCCACTCCTAGGAATTTACCCTAAGAATGCAGCAGCCCAGTTTGAAAAAGACAGATGCACCCCTATGTTTATGGCAGCACTATTTACAATAGCCAAGAAATGGAAGCAACCTAAGTGTCCATCAGTAGATGAATGGGTAAAGATGTGGTACATACACACAATGGAATATTATTCAGCCATAAGAAGAAAACAAATCCTGCCATTTGCAGCAACGTGGATGGAGCTAGAGGGTATTATGCTCAGTGAAATAAGCCAGGTGGAGCAAGACATGTACCAAATGATTTCACTCATCTGTGGAGTATAAGAACAAAGAAAAAACTGAAGGAACAAAACAGCAGCAGACTCACAGAACACAAGAATGAACTAACAGTTACCAAAGGGAAAGGGATTGGGGAGGATGGGTGGGAAGGGAGGGAGAAGGGGGCAAAAAGGGGTATTACGATTAGCACACATAATGTGTAGTGGGGTACGGGGAAGGCAGTATAGCACAGAGAAGACAAGTAGTGTTTCTATAGCATCTTACTATGCTTATGGACAGTGACTGTAATGGGGTATGTGGTGGAGACTTGATAATGGGGGTAAGCTAGTAACCACATTGTTGCTCATGTAATTGTATAATTGTATATTAATGATACCAAAAGAAAAAAAGAAAAACTACAGACTCAAAAAAAAGAAAATCACACTGGTATCAGATAGATTGGCCTCAGATTTCTCACCTGTGACTCTGGGGCCAGAAGGTGCTGGAATCAAATCTCTGTAGTGCTGAGAGGAAAGGCCTGCTACTAAGAATGTTCTACCCAGGGAGCTTGTCATTAACGTGGTAAGAGGAAGGATATAGATGCTGATATGCAAGCATTTAGTGACTATATCACCATGTATCCCAACTCAAGAAATCATGAAAACTCAAGAAAAATATTGGCAAATAACACTAACCCACAAACAGAAATCAAGACCTCAAGATACAGGAAGATGAAGAAAAGAACTTTGTAAAGGACCATAGCTAGTATCTTAGAAGGATTAACTCAAAATTCTTGGTAGAGAAGATGGAATGCTAAGGGAAATTCTAATTGTGGCTTCGAATGAACATTAACAATCTCTAAAAATAGGGATGGGAATGAGGGGAGAGAGGAAGACTGAAAAATGTTCCAAAAGTCTCAAGGAAGAGGGAGGAGACAGGGGGTCATCAGTAGATTCATTTGGGCGGGACCCGCGTGGTCATATGAGGAGGTAGCTGGTGCACTGCATCAACACTGGGCTTCCCCACCTCATTTCACACACACAGACCTGATCCTTGACAGCTTTGCTTCTCTCCCCTCCTGTTAAAGTTGAGAAATGCAAAAACTCAGGAAGTTAGGCTGCATGGATGAGGGCCCAGCTCTGCAACTGAACAGCTGCCCAAATGTGGCAAGTCATATGTATGGGCTCAGCAGCCTGCATGTCCACCACAGCTGATGTGAAAATTCTCCACAGGGAGTTAAAAGTAAAATAAGGGAAGGAGAGCTGTCGCCCATCCTTCCCTGCCTCCCCTTTCAGGGTTTTGCCATTTTGCTGAGCTGGGTTGTTCTGGTGTGATTCTGCATACATGGAGCTCAGCGGGTATTTCACATGAGGGTGGTTGTGATGTTTGGGGCAGGAAGGGATGAGAAGCTTTGAAATGGGCTGCCAGTCGGCAAGGGACCAAGAGCTGAGAGGAGCTTCTCAGTGGTTACTCCAGCTGGCATTCCTGTGTCTTCCCAGCCTTCAATTCCAGAGGCACAGAGCTCAGCCTTATTTGCAAAGAATAACCATTACAAGGGGGCCAGAGGAGGACTTCTTTTGTTTTGTTTTGTGGGGTTAGGGATTATTATTGAAAAAGAAATGTTTGCAATCACAAAACAGTTGCTGTGGACATCCATGTTCATGGAAACTGTTTTTTGTTATACAAAACCTCTCCTCTTGATAATATGGATTGAAATGAGGTTCTAGATATTTCCTTTGTATAAAAAGAGGTTTTTGTTCTTTGTAGTAATTATATGGGCTCATTGCAGGGAAAATTAGAACAATTCAAAAGGGAACAAAGCAAATTTTAAAACACCAGAAAGATAAAAGCAGTTTGCTCATTATCCTTCTAGACAATTCTCCAGGTAGATCTGCACAAACTGAAAACAAATGAGATCTTTCTGTACATGCTATTCTGTAATTTGACTTTATTTACTCAACACCATGTTTTGGAGAGGCGTTTATCACTGTACATATAGACCTGTGTTACCATTTTAATGGCTTCACAGTGCTCTGTAAAGTCCAGGTCTCCTAATTTCCTTACGAATATGTTCCTTTTTTGAAACGTTACACTCATGATGGGTTGGTAAATGCTGACTGAAGATGTATCCGTCCTGGCTGGCAGGAGACTCTGAGGAGGAAATGGGGCCTGTTGCCGGGTCTCTGATCCTGGCTGGAAGGAACATCATGCTGGTAGCCCAGAAGCTCCATCTTCAGCCGGAGTGTCAGAGCCTCCGGGAGGAGCTAGTGATCACAGCTCAGCAGATTCTGAGGCTGATTCAGGCAGAGCTGGCTGGCTGGTCTCAACAGAGCTCATTGCTGGGAAGCATGGGGGTGGCCAGTCATTCCCACAATGGACACCTGCCCGAGAGGGAGAAACCTGCCTACGTTTCTGCCAGAGCTCATTACCAATTTAACCAATGCTGAATGTGGGAGCTGCCATGGCGAGCCAGGTACTGACATACTGAGTTAGGGTCTAGGATCCTAAGCCCACGTGTGGCCCCTTAATAAAATGGTGTCACTGAAGGGTTCATTCCAGCTGGTGGCCTGGAGCTAGGAGGGAGCGTCTACTGAAACCTCTGCAAGTCTCAGACTATTGGCAAACGTGGCTCTGAAATGAAAGCTCTACTGCTTTGGCCCACAGCTGGCAGGGTCCCCTTCAGGGGGCCGGGACAACCCCTCGGCTTCCAAACACTCCCCATTTTCCATCCTGACATTCTACCATATGGCACAACTCTTTTAGGTTGCAACATTGCTCTCTGTTAGAATCTATATGCCTTAAATATTATCAAAACTATCAATGAATGGTTATCATTAAAACTTTAGTAGGGTGGATAATTGAGTGGGGGTGGATTTGTGATTTAACAGATCTTCATTAAAGGAAAATTGGAAGAGGCAAAGCCAGAGAGCGTGGCCTGGGCTTGAGAGGAGGAGGGGAAAGAAGGGCAGGTTCCTGGAAGTGTCTGGGCACCAGCCGTGCACTGGGGGACGAGAGCCGTCCAAACGGGCCGAGAGCCGTCCAAACGGGCAGAGCCGGGAAGGACTTCAAAGGCACTTCCCGGACCGGCCATCCGGAGGCCGCATCCTCCTCACCCCACAGGAAGGCCTTCCTAAGTGCCCCTCAGCACCCTTTCCTGACCTCGTTGGTCCTGTTCTGGACTGCAGGTGGGCCCTCCGACCCCCAACCGGGCTTCACGTTGGTCGCGGCTCCCATTTACGAGGTGTATATTTTCAACTAAGCCAAGTATTTTCTGTCCACGTTAGCCGTAGGTGACCTTCTTCCACCGGCCTGAAGTGACACGGTCTCGGCCTCGGGCGTTAGGGGATGGGACGGGTGGGAGGCGGTGGGGCGGTCGCTGTGGCTCTGAAGGTGCAGCTGCCCCGGCAGGTCCTGCCTTTGGAGGCCGCGGGGCTGGGGCGCCGGGTCCCCGGCAGGCCAGATCCCCCTCCAAGCGGCGATGTCCCCCGCCGGCTGCCCGCGCCAGGCCCAGGCCCCGCACCCCACCGCAAACTCTGCAGCCCCTCCCTGCCCCTTACCGCGACCAGGTGCTCAGAGAGGCTCGTTGGACCGCGCTTTGCTGCCCCCGGCCGCAAACGGGCCGCGATGGACAGGCCTCCGCGGCGGGCCTCGGTCCCCGAGCCCCTGGCCTGGTCTGGACTGGGGCCCTGGCGCCCTCGGGGCGCTGCTGCGGCTGTGCGCCAGGGCATAGGAGCGCCTCCTGGCCTGTCTGGACGATTTCTCCACAGTCCCGAGTTCCTGAGCGGGTCCGTTCAGGAAATGACCGAGCATGGGCGGTGAGAGGTGGAGAGTCCGGAGAGCTTCCCCGGCTCGTGGCACACTTACAGGGTCAGGCCTCACACGTAATGCGGGTGGTGAGCAGGTAGGTATTTGGCCCAACACCGAGTTCACATTTTCCGGAACGGCCTGAGAGCCCTCACCCAGCAGCTGCAGCAGTCTTCCCTGGGCCTGAGGTGAGGGCTGCTGCCCAGTGGTTCAGGTGGGCACAGCCCTCTGGGCACAGATGCAGTTCTAACCTTGGCCAAACATGGGATCTATTCGGCTCGGCGCATCCAGCAGCGGCTGGACAGGACTAAGCACGCAGATATCCTCAGCCCCCTTCAGGACCAAGCCCGAAGGTGTAGCATTGCCAAAACACAGACTTAACTTCATTCTCTCCAGCCTCCAGAACTCCACAGCTCCAGCACTGAAACACCAGGTGGTGTTTGAGTTGGGGAAAAGGGACCCAGGTACCACCTCTCCATGGAGCGACATTCTTTCCCACCACTTGATTCCACATGGGGGGACCACGCCATGCCCTGCCACCAGCAAACACACCCTTGCTAGAGAGAGCCAGAGCCACCAGGCAGTGATCTCAGCTAGCACCAGCCTGCAGGAGCAGGATGTGGATGCGGCTCAAGACACCCTGGCTGGGGAGGGACTACGGGGGTTAGAGAGGATGACTGGACTCCAAGAAAGACCAACACTGGCATCTTCTATTATTGACCTAGCAAGGGCACACTGCATAACTGCCAGAACTGATAGGCTTCTGGAAATGGCTCTCCAGCTGTCTGGGAGAACCAGGGAAACCAGGCAGGCTTTGGTAGCCATGGCTGGTGACTGGTACCCTCTATGTCAACAGCTATCTTGTCACGACCCAGAATCTGATCTTCCAGGGAGCATGGCTGTGTTCATGGAGGTGCAGCGGAATTTAGCCTCAATGGTTCAACGAGCAGCCAAAAGTGAGCCTGTAGGTAACAAGGACCGTAATTCAACTGGGCATCGAGAAGCACATTTACAAATGCGAGGCAGACTGGAGGAGGTGGAAACCCATGCTAAGCAGTGTTTGGACATAGCTCTGGCCTCTGGTGGCTTCCACGAGTTGTGGGAGGAGAGCATTGAGAACAGCTGTCTTCTGTGGTTAGTGGCTGTCCAAGACCTGCTCCAGTGCTTGCTCAGCAGGCTAGAAGGCCTCTTCCTACTGCCCCTGAGACAGGCCGTGAAGGACCAGCAGAGGCTGCAGGAAGGGCTGGCTCAGGCAACTCATGTTTCTCAGAGGCTGCCAGGCTGTCGGGCCTACTGTGCGGGAATATCCAAGTAAAGGGTGAGGTCTCCCTTCTGCGCAGGGAAGTACATGTGCTCACGGATGTCCTGCTGGATGTGGCACAGATCCTGGGCTCCTCCCCCAAGCCATCTCCCAGCTGGTCCACATGCTTTGAACTTCTCTGCTTGGAGCTCACCCTTCGAGCCAAGGCCCTGACCAGCCACCTCAGCAGCATCAGTGCAGACTGTGAATCTGCCTTCCTAGATGCCTTCTTCCCAAGGTTCTTTGCCTGCAAAGACCCCCAAATGGGGCCAGAGAGCTCCCTGGAAAGAATGGTGTCTGGCATCCAAGCTGTGCAGGGAATTGTGGCAGGAGATCAGGAGTCAGAGTCCTGCCAGAAAGACTTTCTTGTGGCTCTGGAGGACATTCTTGTCCTCACCAGAAAGGTGGCTCAGAGGGTCCCTGTGCTCTGAGAGCACCCAGAGGAGAGGGGAATGCACATCCTGGACTGGCTGCAGTGGGAGCAGACAGCCAAGGCCCACCATGCTGTGGCCCAGCTCCAGGCCTGGAAAGGTGGTCACACCAAAGCCTGGAGACCCCTGACACAGTGCTTGAAGCCCAGTGATAGACAGGACCCTGCCCAGTCCCAGCTCCACCATGGGGAGGAGCTTCAGGAGCAGCTGCAGTGGGCAACATGGGTTCTCAAAGTGTCACCCCAGGAGACAGCCCAGGGAGCTTAGCGGGACCTGCACTGCCAATCCAGCCATCACTTGGGCAGGGGCAGCAGACCTGGACACAGTAGGAAGTCAGTATCTTTCCTCCCCTGCCCTGACGCCACCAAAACCCACTGCCAGTTTCCAGAAAAAGCTGCCTTGGTGCCCATGTATGCAATTCCCATCTGGCAGGCAGCACTGTGCTGCTGTTGAGTCTGAAACCAGGAATCACACTGCCTGGGCTGCACCTGACGCTACCATTTCCTGGCTCTGAGACCTCAGAGAAGCTTCCCACCTATATGTCAAAATTCTACTCTAGAAAATGGGAACACTGACACTTTCCTGGTGGAGGATTAAGGAGCGCATTTGAGTAAAGTACTTGGATTTGCCAGGCGTATAGTAAGTGTCCTGCAAGTCGTGGCTACAGTTATGGACCTCGGTGAAGTCTTCCTACTCCCCCAAGTGACAGTAGCTCGCCTGACTGACAGCACTCCTCGAATCAGACTGCTTCATGCCGCCTTGACCTCAGTGATGTTACCTCCCTGCTGCAATCAGGGTTCCTTTATTTGCAAATGGCCAGAATCCAATCTGAATCACTGTAGGCAAAAGAAAGATTTATTAGAAGGAAGCTGAATCTGTTGAACACCTTCCACACACAGTCGTTTCCTTCTAGGGCATCAGACACAGGATAGCCAAGGCATTGTGGGGCCCGAACATTTATTTACTTACACTGACTGTAACCAAAGCCAGTGGGAAATATAATAGGTTGGAGGGCCTGAGATGTGCTCAGCCCAGTGTTTTATGCACAACCTGATCCAGCCCCTTTGTGACCTTACGCTTGGCTGCACAGACCCTTCCAAGCCCTTCTCTGGGCCTTCTCCCAAGATAGAGCTGACCAGACCATGTGTCTCCACCCCATTGCTCCTTACTTCATTTTGCTCACTAAAAAATCATTTCCATGAGGAGGTGCTGTGTTCCCAAAGCCGCTGGGAGGAGAGCAGGCACAGGTCTCGTCCCTACAGCCTAATTCCTCTGTGCTCAGACTCTAGCTTCTTCTGGGGTGAGCCTAGCTCCTAGTCTCATGAATTCAGACAGCCTGTGGGAGGCCCTCATCTGTTTCTCCATAGGGTCTTCTGACTCCCACTTAATGCCACTGAGCTCACTGACAACACACTCTGCCCTTATCATTCCCTGCTCCCCCAAACCTCCTGCCATAACCTGTCAGACAAACCTTCACAAATCCTGTGTGAAGGAGTATTTCACACAGCTGCTGGCAGGGCAGGTGAAGCTGGCCGCCCAGATCAGCTGGCCCCAGGATGGCAACAGCCTGCTGGGCCAGCCCCCAGCACCACTCCTGTCCCTGCAGGGCTGTCACCTCCCCATTGCAGGCTGGTTCCTCTGGATGAAGAGCAAGGACCTGCATGCCAAGGTTCCCGCCCTGGGAAGCACTGTCCTTCTAGGCACATAATGGCAGTTTGAAAAACAACAGGAACAATGACTCCACTTTGAGGTGCCCATCCCCAGGTGTGAGGGCATGTGGAGAAGGAGAAGGGAGAATCACATCTGTGGTGTGTCTGCTCCACCACCCCACTCCTTGGGACTCCTGGGGGGCAGAGACCCAGCCCCCAGACAGCCGAGAGCAGCACCTCCATCCCTGAGCACCTGCCAGAGCCTGCTGAGGGAGGACCTGACTTGCAAAGGGGCTCATGCATCTTCCAGGCACTTGTCCGTCACAGCCTGGACTTCTTCATTCCAGCTATAGGAATCACTAACAAAAATCCTAGGCCTCTTTCACCACTGAAGAGCCTGGAGACACTTCTAGCTTTGGGTACTTAAGGTCCCTGAGAGTGGAATATGAGACCTGAGTTGAAAGGAGTATTTCCTAGTTTCCTAACCCTTGGCTCAAGGACCACCAAATTGCTTCTTTGCCTTTTTCTCCCTTGTTTTCGGTCACTGCGGTTGAGTCTTAGTGACAGTTGACTTCTCTCCCCTTCTTTGTACCATCTGGGCAGCCTGCTGGGAGTCAGTGTAATTTGGTCCCTCTCCAGAAAAGGCTTTAACATTCAGGGGACACTCCAGCTCTCCAAAACAAGGCCAACAAACAGTTTTCAGAAGGCAGGGGACTTTTAATTGAAGAACTAACACAAAAGTGATAGCAAAGCCAGGTGATTTCTCAGTATGCACCCACACAGGAAGCCTAAACACTTGGCTACTAAGAAGTCCAAGGACTGTGTCTCACTTGCCTTTAGATCCTTCAAGCTGAGCAGTTTCTGATGCATTGCAGGTGTGCGATCAGTGGTTTTCAATTCTTGCGAGGATGCTAAAGACAGCCTACAGGTGCAGAGGAGGTTCAAAGTTGGGGCAACCCCCTCATGGGAGGGGTGGAGTGGAGTGCCCTACCCACTTCTGGATGTCAGGATGTCTTTTTCTTCCTAGAAAATAACAATCAAGGTAATGAGGGGAAAATCATAATCATTCATACAGAGCTGTAAAGTTTTTTCATATACAATAATTGATGTGAAAGTGTTTGGGTTCCCAAAGTTACAACATTCTACGATTCCTGAATTTCTTCAAGAAGCTATACTTTCTCCCTTCTCCCATATAAAGCCTGAAAATTCACAGTGGGAAAGAAACTGGTATTTTAACTTCCCTGGGACCTGAGTATGGCAGATTTTAGTTTATGCAAGTACTGGCTGAGTGGAGCACAGAGAAATAGGGTTTCACTGTTTCCTCTTCCTCCTATTTGGAGAAGGTTGTCAAAGAGCTGCTTGCATAAGAGGTATCAGGAAAACTTCTTGATTTCCACCCTTGTTTAAAAATGATTAAAAGGCCATTAACATCGCACTGTAAAGTCTAAAGGTCCGAGCATCAGGAATGTCATTTCTACCCTGTCCCTTTACACAGCAGGGCCACAGCACACCTTCCAGCTACTTCCGCTGTCCAGCCTGGCTACACACTGAGCTGCACCAGCCTCTCTGGGAGGAAGGCAGCACAGACGGTGGGAACACAATCACCCAGATTCCCCAGGAGATGGCGAAGGAGGTGCTCCTGATGGCTCAGAGCTGGGGAGGAGAGAATGCATAGTGGTACATGGCTGTGGTGGTGAGAGAACTGGGTACTGTGTGGAAACAGGGCCCCAGCTGCTGCCCTGCCGGAGCAGGGACAGCCTGCGGCAGCCCCCAGGAAGGGCCGTGCTCAGTATGTTGGGCACTTTGCATTTTCACATGCTCTCTTCTTTCCCTATCTGGGTGTATCATGAGTTTGCCTTTCTTCTCACTGCCCCTCCTTTTTGGGGCTCAGTCACTAAGGTTTTGTCTTATTCCACCAGGGAAGATATTTTGCCAGATTTAGTAAAGCAGCAATTTAGTAAAATCAAGGACTCATTAAGCTTCCAGGAGGATGAGCTGAAGGAACCACTTACATTTGTTTAAATCCCCCAAAGAAGAAGTAACAGAGCTACAACCTGCTGAAGGATAGCCATTCAGAGTCAGCAATAGCCTGCAGGGGAAGGGAGCTACATTCCCCTGGCTTTTAGGGGCCAGCTTCAATCACCTGTTCTAATTATCTTGCTCTCTTCTTGATTAAATTTAGTTAAGCATTGTTTAACCTCATTGAAAAAATAAATAAAAGAAGTCCCTTTATGGACTATGTGGAAAAAGGAAGAGATAGAATGGTCCCAAAAGCCTTTTAGAAATTCCTTCTCGAGTAGATCTGTGGGGCACTCCTGGCTCCTAAATCCATGGCGGGGCCACATAGGGTCTCATTTTTTCATTCTGGATGTGAGGAGGGGTAGAGGAGGACGGATATTCAGGCCACACCCAGCAGCCCCCACCACACCTGAGACTCACTTTTCGTTGTCCTGTCTCTTCTCCCAACCCTGGCCCAATTCACCAGGCAGAATCACCAGGAATGGCTGGCCTTGAAGCCTTCAGAGAAGTTTCAGGAGATCCTGGTTTTCTGACTAAGGTAAAATATAGTTCATTCTGGGGATGAAGTACATTGTGCTTCACTGGAACAGTTACCCCAAGGTCAGGAGAGTGGTTACCACTTGCTCACCCCCATTTTCTTTCCGAACACTTCAGGTATTCTGATTTACATTGGACTTGGGCACTGGCAGTGCTGCTGGCTGAGGGCCCAGGAATATGCACACCCTCCATCCCACAGAGTTCTCTGGGGAAATGTACACTTAAAGGGAAATGATAAAGGGAAAGCCAAAGGATCATTTTTTAATAGTGAGACTAGTGCCAGAAAAGATGGAGACTCTATGCAGAATTCTCCCCCAAACCTCCCCCAATTTTTTAAATTAAGGTATCAATGATATACAATTTTATGAAGGTTTCACATGAACAACATTGTGGTTTCAACATTCACCCATATTATCAATTCCCTCTCACTCCAGTATAGTCACTGTCCATGAGCATAGTAAGATGCTATAGAGTCATTATGTGTCTTCTCTGTGCTATAATGCTTTCCATGACCTCCCTATATAGTGCTCATTATAATGCCCCTTAATCCCCTTATCCCTCCCTTCCCACCCACCCTCCCCAGACCCCTCCCCTTTGGTAATCACTAGCGCCTTCTTGGAGTCTGAGTCTACTGCTGTTTTGTTCCTTCAGTTTTGCTTTGTTGTTACACTCCACAAATGACTGAAATCATTTGGCACTGTCTTTTTCCACCTGGCTTATTTCACTGAACATAATACCCTCTAGTTACATCCATGTTATTGCAAATGGTAGGATTTGTTTTCCTTTTATGGTTAAAAATATTCCATTGTGTATATGTACCACATCTTCTTTATCCATTCATCTACCTGATGGACACTTAGGTTGCTTCCATTTCTTGGCTATTGTAAATAGTGCTGTGATAAACATAGGGGTGTACATGTATTTTTGAAGCAGGGATATTGTTTTCTTTGGGTAAATTACTACGGGTGGAATTCCTAGGTCAAACAGTATTTCTATTTTTGGTGTTTTTTTAAAATCTAACTTTATAAAATAATCACATAGTTTTTAATATAATAGCACATGATCTCTCAATGTGTTTTGCATAAATAAGTTTAATATTTTAAGTTTAATGTAGGGCTACATTTGTAGTGTCTAAAAAGCTGAAATGGTTGTGAAATAATTTGACTATGTGGAAAAGAAATAACACCAATTTTTACATTTGTATCCTATATGGTCCTGATCTAATCTCACCTACATTTACCATTTAGCTTTATTATTAGGTTATAAAAAAAGAAAAGGAATACCAAAAACATTTGAAAGGTTAAGATTGGCTGTGAAACAACTGACAATAAAGCATACAGAATACTCAAGTAGAAAATAGGTGGTGCTAGAAAATAGAAATATGAAAATTTTCTTATTTTATTTGATCACCTGCACTACCATTTTCAGTAATAGCTGGTTATGGAAAAAAGAGTGTAGTCAAAGATACAAATGGAAGGGGCCTAGCCCCTGAATTAATCTTTTGTAAGTACAAGGGGATGGCTTAATTTGCAAAGGATACAAATTTCATTAACCAAAGATTTATGAGATTCTATTTGCTTTGGCTCAATTAATAACCATAATAATTTAACATGTATAAAATAATAATTTCCTTCCCATTTAGAAAGTTATATATTCCTTCCAGATGCCAGCCTGAGTTATTACCAGTAATATTTAGGCTGAATCAAAATGGCTAAAACATTCTAAGACAAACTCCTCCAGAAGTAAGTGAATCAGGTTATAGGGTTTTGGAGGTGTTTTGTTTTACTCTGGGAGTTAGACATTCAAGTTTAGCTGATTTTGCTTTAAACATGCTATGACCACAGCAAGATAATCTAAAGCTTATGACAATGGAGTCAGAGTCAGTAAATATTTTTTCTATCTTACATGGGGTTTTTTTTTTGTTTAACTAAAAGTTTGTACTTATTATTAGTTCCAAATTTGTTCTACCAAAAATATACTTCGCTTAAATGGTTACAAATTCTAATCTTACATTTTATTTTAGCACAATATACTCATTTTAGAAAATTCTTTTTTAAGGACATGTATAATTTAATTATAAATTAATTATAGAATTACAGAAGTAACAATCTTCATCACTTTTTAACTTGCTACTCTTTTTGAAGAGAAGTAAAAATGCAAATTTCCAACACATTCAGTATGATTTGGTTTATTTCTTTGACTCTACATACAAAAAGTAATGGAAAAACTATTGTGTTAACTGATTCCAAATAAAAAAGTTGTCTAGAAGGTAAGATAGTACTTGAGCTCTTATATTATCGGATGGAGAAAAGTGCAGAGAAGAAATAAAACTAATACAAATGCTCCTAGTCATTGTATAGGTCACATTTGAATTTGATGGTTTTTTAAATAGTTATACTGAATTTATGAGCATTAACAATGTTTTAAATCTCAACAATTTTATAAATATGGGCAGTAAATATTTGCTACACAAAGTGTTAACTGAGTTATTAACTATTTCTTTGAAAATAAAACAGCAGGGCAGAAGGCATAGTTAAATAGCAAAAGAAAATGGCACCTTTTTCCTATTTTTCCCCTTACTAATACCATCCATGTGCAATATGAAGTGCACATTCTGGAAAAGGAATGAGTGGAAAAGTGGGTGGGAGGGGAAGAAGGAAAGCTAAAGAGAGGGAGGGAAAAAAAGGAGCATTTTTTTTTTCAAGTAACAAAGTAAATGAGACTTGAAAATGCCGTCTTGGTAATTACAGCATGCAGCTATTTTAACATGCTTCTAGGTATCAAAGTACTCTCTTATCAGGTGACAAGAAATGTGAAAGAGGAGCATATATTGTTAAGGTTTTTAAGGTCATGCAGACAGTGTGCACAATGCAATTAATTATTCATGCAGGCTTTGGTGGGGTTACACATTCATGTTCGTATACATGCCATCATGTACAACTGAGCACTATGCCACAATTTAAAACTGAAAATATAAACCTAGCCAAATGATAGTTTTATACAGCAGCTCTTCAAATCAGATTAGAGAAGTGTAGTATATATCAAATGACATCAGTTTATATTATGTGGTTTTGATCATATGCAACCATAATCATACCAGACAGTGTGATTATCCTCAGAGACCAACAATGTAGCTTCTGTGTCACTAGGATAGAGGCATGCAGGATTGATAAGATTACTTCTGTCTACAGAAGACTGTGGGTTACTGTTACTAGGGTTCTGATTATCAGACAACTGTTCATTACCTTTTTCTGCAGCTTTATCCAAGGAGGCAGAAGCCTGATCAGTTACTCTGGGGACTGGCCTAGAAGGTGATCACTTATGTTGCTAACTGATTCTGTATTCAGGGATACAAATGGCTGAGATGGATGAGCCCCAGTAAATGACTCTGTGCTATCTTTAGCTGATATTCCAAATGCAAAATTAGTCATATTAATAGTGGTGAAAGTTTGGTTCGAAAAATGTGACCTTTCTGTTCTTGGGTTTCCAGCCTGGGCATATAGACACTGGCTTATGTGTAGCTAAATCATTTTGTGCACAAGAACCCACAGCATATGTTGGACTGTGAAGTGCACTAGAGGACCCCTGATGTAAACGGTACTCACTGGATGCTGCAGTGATGCTGCTATCAGCAGTAGCTGGTGGTGAATCAACTGACATAGGCAGTCTACTGTCCTTGGTCAGAAAATCACGGATGCTTGTCCTTCGAGTAGTTCCTTCAGCAGTAGAGATCACACTGCTTGCGCGAGGTAAGTGACATAAGGATTACTATCTTTTGATTGTCGTGACAGAGAAGTTTCTTTTACTAATTTTATCTTTCCTTATGTGCCTAGTGTAGGTTTTCCTGGAGAACTAATGAAATGAAATAAGTATCTTCAGTCTTCTGAGGACCAGGTCTTACAAATTGTTCAGAATTAGTTGTCTGTCTATCATAGAAGTCTCCTGGAGATTTCCCACTTGCTGACTTGGCTAGACCACAGCTAACTGGTTTGTTTTTTCCCAAAAAGTCAGAAGATACAGACAAACTTTTCATTACTTCATCTAAAAGATTTTCTTGAGGACTTTATCTGCTAAAAAAAAATCAAAGCAGATTAGTGAATACAGCCATATTTTTACTTTCCTGATACATTAGACTGTATGATAAAAAATCATCAGTATCTCTAAGCAATCCTTTAAAAAGAAAAGCTCTAAAGTTTGATCACAGAAATTTAACCGTAGTGTCCTTCTAAAGTAACGTAATCATAGATAAAACTAACCTGTATTGAGGTAAGCTTGTTGCTTTCTTCTAAAAACTGTTGCAGAGTAACAACTTCACTTCCAGGGGAACCAGTTTTGAACTTGATCTGGCTTGTTTTTCAAGTGCTGGATTGGACTGCTACCACTGCTGGACCAAGCCTCATGGTCATGAAGCAGGCTAAATTCTCCACTGCTGTGGCTTTGTGGCCTGCTTTGGGTAGTATCTGTATCTGCTTTGGGAGTAAATGATGCATTTAGAGTTTAATAATAGAAATCAGATAAAATCTATGTAAGTAATAACATTTACTGACTAAATTTTTATGAATAGCCAAACTGACTTTCAAGCTTTGTTTAGAAATGCTTAAGCCATATGAATCTTTCATTCAGTCTACCATAGCCTGCTTCCTTATTTTGTCAAATTGACAAATATTATAAGCTTCACAAGGGCAAAGTTTGCTTTCATCACCTTACCCAGAGCCTAAACATACAAAACAAGCACTCGGTATGTTTAATGAATGAATGAATGAATAAATAAATGAATAATACATTTTTAAAAATTCAGGTTCAAATAATTATAAAACACCTCACAATTTTGAAAACATGATTATATGAATTTTAAATTATTTCAGAAATGTTAAGATCTAAACTTTTAAATGCTAAAAATGCTAATTCTCTGCCTCACTATGAAGTCTCTTCTTTCTTTGAAGGCTTCTTTGTTCACGCTACAGGAATAACCTTAAATAAATTTTTAAATTTAAATGGCAGTTATATAAGGAAAGTCAAATGGAGACATGATGATTTACTTAGATAATTCCAGTAAAAATACAAAAACCAAATATGGAGTACTTAGTTTTTACTTAATATCTGAATTATCTGATTTTTTCTGCTTTCCACTGTTGGTATAGTGGCTACATAACCTTAAAAGATCAATTGAAGTTGCACAACTGTAGAGAACGCAAATTAGGAGTTCTGGAAAAAGCACCCTATAGTTTATGCCATTCCTTAAGAATCGTGATTCATTTTGATCAAAAGTGAACTATGTATATACAGTATTAAGATAGAAAAATCTGCCTTTTCACGGTGTCCTAGTCACAGAGAGTAAAGTGGGCCATGAAAGATTTGGTGTAAGTTATGTAACATTTTATAGAAATATGATTTCCTTAAATTTTCAAATCAGAAAAATACTTCTTTATATTTTCAGACTACATTTCTGTACTGGATATAAGAACACGACTATAAAAATGAAAACATTTTCCCTCCTTGAAATCAGATTTTTCAGAGCATTACAACACATATAGCATTAATGATAAAATTACAACTGAGACAAAATCATTTTATGATACAAAAAGCAACAGAATGAATGTATTCACTAAAATTTGACAATTCTGGACTACAGGGAACAACTACTTTAACCAACCTTTATAATCCATTAAACAATTCTATAATCTGAATAGGCAGTATACCTTTAAGGAAAAAGATAATAGTCAAGGTTTCCAGACATTAACATATAAAAATATTATGTTGGAATGCTTGTTAAAAAATTAAGGGAAAGTATCTTGAAATAATTCTTTATATGAGCTATATGCATCCATTTAGCTCTTGTTAGACACAAATGTCTTCTCAAGTTAAAAAATTTCCCCTTATTTGTGGATAAATTAAGCTATTAAGTATCTCTAAAAGACTTGTGTAATGTGTTCCATGTTCATGCATGAGGACAACCATTTTCATGACAAAGACAAAAGTAAAATGAGGACCTATCTATATTTTTGAAGTAAAGATTATAATAAAAAAAATTTTATCTGTGAAGATGAAATATGGAAACCACAATAACTGCTTCTGTTTTTACATTTGTATACATTGAAATACATTTGTATTACAATGTGATGAGTACATGATTTGGATTTCATACTTTACTCCAGAAACTTCATCAGTCTCCCACTTTTAAATCTGGCAATGGATGGAGCATATTAATAAATTCACCTACAGCATACCTTTGACCTCATGGAGTGAAGCATTATTACTGCTATTGCTAGTGGATGTTCGGCTACTGTCAAGGCTGGCTGGTCTTGAAGCTAAATGAAAAAATCAGGAGACAGTGTGATAAAACTTCCAGCTAATGCCACTGAACTCTACATTCTGATCACAGAATGCTGTCAGGAAGCAATCATGCATATGTTCACAGGCTGAACATGCCCACAGAAAGTTGAATCTTAGAGATTAAGAGAGCACAGGCATTTCCAGATAGACACTTGAGAAGAGGATACTTCTGAAACAATAGTTAAGATTCAAAAAAAAAGAGGATAAAGTACATATTTAGATTTGGAAATGATTTCTAGATGGCCACAAAGACTGTTTTAGTTGACCAGGATGACATGTTCCCCACAGAAAAGAGCTAGTGATTAGGTCACTTACAAGGGATCACACAAGGTACCCTGCACATGGCAGAGATGCCACGAACAGGAGGAACATGAGCACCTGCACTGTTAATGTCCTGTATTCCTATCCACACAAGGGAAACAACTGCAGTTAACATGGCTCTATCCTATTTCTTAAAGTCCTGCTTACATATGAAATTCCTTTAACATCTTATCCACTTATTGTTAATAATTTAGTTTGGCAAGATATTCTCCAAATAGAAACTTAAAAATCAGACACTCAACATTGCAGAAAATGTGGTTTCTTAAAGTTCATCGGTTACCAAGTATTTTTTGAACCAATGGTAAAATATATCACTCATAACTTTAATCTTATACCAAAATAGCCACAAAATTACACTTGTGAATGACCTTGACTAAAATAGAGAATATTTAGATGAAGCAATCACCTTAAAAGGGGCAAAACAAAGTATTAGGTTTTAAGAAATGGCAGAGGTAGCTATATGATATAAGTTAGAGAAAACATGCTTGCTGGCAGTGCCACATTCACCAGTACAATGCAAGCCTTAGCATTCCCATTCTGTACATGATAAGAACTCTCTACATAAAGTTTGTATCTTACCATGAACTCTTGATCCTGTACTAGAATCATCACTAATACCTTGTGGACTTACATCTTCAGAGGATGTAGTATCTACATAAAATAGCAAAATGGATATAAAATATTTCTAAGCAAAAAAAAAAAAAAGCCATTATAAAATTATTTATGCAGAATATGGAAATTCTTTTCAGTCATAGATAATACATCTTGATTTAACACATTTCATGGATTCAACCAGAAACTGGAACTAGGTGCAAGACAGAATAGCTCTGAGGAGAGTTGACTCACTTAGTGAAAACACAAGAAGCAATGAGACAATCTCCCATGACCCTGCAAAGCAAAGCTAGAGCGTGGGTTGTTCTACATGGTTCTCTGTGCTAGAAGTTGGAGTGTTTTAGGCTTTTTTTAAAGCTTGTATTTCTCCTTTTCTCACTCTTTACTTGGTTTACCTTTTCCTTTGCTTGTTAGCTCATTAGCTGTTTATTATGAAAAGCCTAGGAAAGATTTCGGTTATTTGTATGATGTTTTAAATTTTTGAAATGATTTCAAATAAAATCCAGATTGTTTTGATAATTATTTTGGGTTGCTGCTATCAAAATTATACACAGGCAAATCAAATTAAAATTCCTGTTGCCAATAGTTACACCACAGTGCAAATAGCAGATGGCCTATATTTAATTATTAAACAACTGCTTGCATCTGAAGCCTGTAGAAGAGTTGACAGTTGAAAAGTTGATGGCTGTAGTAGAGAAGGCCATAGCTCCCAATTCTTTTCTCCTTTTACCCGTTGAAATATCATCAGGAACCTCCAAATGTTCAGTACTACCTGTCCACTGTCCTCCTGCTAGGACCATGGACTGCAACAGGTCATTCATGGCTGGGATGCAAATGAAAGCAAATGAATCAGCATGGTTAATGTATATGCTCTTATTTCTATTTTGTATTATAAATGATCTGGTTTTTGTTTATGGCTTAATGCAAATGAACACCAAAAACTATGACCACAATGTCATTCTAATTATGATATACATCTAGCTGAATGAAATGAGTAGGCCAAAGCTTGATGAATTTCAATGAGTATTTTTTTCCCACTTGCACCCCCTTTAAAGAGAGGAAAAGGAATTTTACTCTGTACAACTGTCATGCTTTTGTGCAGTAATGTGCAATATAATTAGAAGCCTTCATAGTGTGGTTGTATGGTGACAAAAATGGAATGAATAAAGGTAAGATACAGGGCAGTTCTTATACAGCATCATCACTGAAAATGATAGAGTCCTTGGTCAGAGCAGGTTACTGAAGAAATTATTCACTTATGCATTTAGCTGTTATGCATTAGCTGTTGTTAATAATTTAGTTTGGCAAGCCAGTGTAGTCATTTGAAAGAAGCTGAACTGTCATAATGTCTTACACATGGAAATATGAAATATGTCCTTTGATACTTTAAAATACTTGGAAAAACACTGAAGATAATGATAAAGTATACCACTCAGTAAAAACCTGAAAGAGATGATATCCAAAGTGACAGACATTTAATGTGATTATATAATTACCAATTCAACTTAGAAAAACCAGAGTATTATTATATAAAGAATGACAAACATTTTCAAGAGTTACAAGCCATTTTATTTATTTATTTATTTATTTAATTTTGTTCATTAAGGAAATAAATTCCTAACACTGAAGGTTTTTTAAGCAAATTTATTTGGGAAAAAATTTCTATGGCATATAATTAAAGGTGTTTTTTTTCCTGCCAACTCTTAGAAAGCACTGGAAATTTATATTACATGTATGACTAAATATATGCACATACATGTATCTGAGCACGCATATAATGCAAATTCAGTGCCAGTTTTAAAAAAATATTCTTCCAGCTCCTTTTTATTAGATGAAGACCGCACTTTGCAAAATAAGAAAATTGGCACAGTCCAGAGAAAGGTTAGTGAAATATTAGTAATGGAAGCCAGTGTAATCATTTGAAAGAAGCTGAACTGTCATAAAGTCTTACACATGGAACGATGGTAGGTCTTCATTTTTGTCTTTCTTCGGTCTGTTCCTCAAAAAGGGCAGTCTTCTCAGTGCAACCACTTTAATGTCAGAGCATGAGAAAAAACAGAAACAGAAAAAAGGGAGAACATATGGGAGTTAAATGTTGAAATTAAGGACAGAAATGAATGTTTGAGTTTCAGCTATGTATGCTATACTAAAGCTATTATTCTCTTGCTGCTGAGTGATAATGAAATATGAAATATGTCCTTTGATACTTTAATTGGAAAAACACTGAAGATAATGATAAGGAACAATATATTTGAAAGCTTGGATTGGCTAGAGTCCTATCAATACAGGAACTTAATGAGTAGAGTCACTTATGGAAGGAAAAGTTTTCCTAATTAAGTTGTAAAGGTTTACCTTTAAATTAGGGCTATTGGTGGCCCACAAAGCATACATTATGAAGATATCTAAAGGCTTTTCAATCCTTTATTTTTTTCTACTTTTTAAATTATAAGGCTTAATTCTGGAAAAAACATAATTTAGGAAAATACAAATTCTGTACAGGAGCATTTTAGTAAAATATATCAACCATAACTGGAGTGCCCAGGGATGATTAAAACAGTCTAAAGAAACTTTTAATATTTTCATTAAGGACTTTCATTATTAAACTCTACTGCAGAAAATAGGTGATTCTTGGTTTAAACTGAATTCTGGTGTATTTTTATCAGCACCATGGAAATATATACTCGTTTGAGCAAAATCTTTCAAAAGATAACATTAGTAATTATATTAATGTCATTTTGCAAAAGGTTGACTGGCGGAAGAGAAAAGTATTCTGACAGTAGTAATAAATGCTAGCACTTAATATATAAGCTAATAGATAAGGAAGCAACCTAAAGCAAGCAAAAATGACAGAGAAATATGCATTATAACATTAGATATTCTGAAGGACTTTCTGAATGAGTTTATTTAAAAAATGGGTAACTTCTAAAAAATTTTGTGAATGAAAATTAGGGTTATACATAGGTGTCAACAGCATACAAATAAAAATGTTCACTAGAGTCACTAACAACATTCATAAACTACATTTTATCAGATTTGAATACAAAAAGTTATAACATCTTTTGGAACTGCAATTTAGGAGCTAGGGAAACAACCTGCATAAAGTCTTAAAAGCATACTGTACACAGCCTTAGTAACTATGCTCTTTCTTGGGGCTTGCTGTCATCTTGTAAATAATTAAAGCTCTTTGACAAACCGACAAATATCATTCATCAAGGAAAATGCAATCCACATACAGCTTTTTAACTTATTTGACTGCTATTAGGAATGGTCATGATTCATTTAAACTTTCAATCTGAACTATTTCTCTACTAGATTGGTAAACACAGCTGTTATCAATGATTAAAAAGAAATGAACTGAAAGCAAAAATGGACATTTAGCTAAAACAAAGCTGAGTGGTTGCAGCATGCACATGGTGTCTTGTTAAGACACTTTTTCTGTTTTCAACTGTTTTCCAAAGACTGCTTTACTGACAGACAGACACTTTCCCAATGGACTGGATAAAAGGAGTTTTAAGTATGCCAGTGGTGGAATGTGATCCCTTTCATGGCAGTTAGTTTGTAGATATACAATGTTCTTTTCCCAAACCATACTGAAATTAAGGGAATGTTAGCATTGTTGGATTTTGTGTTTCTTTTAAAACTTCTAAAACTGAACAACTGCAGGAAAGGAGAATATTACTTCCTTCTGATTCTTATTCTGGAAATGTAAAGGAATGACAAATTTATATTTAAAACAAACAAGATACCCTCAAAAATGATTGTGCTTTTCTTGTGTATGTTCTCATATCTGCATTTAAGTATCTTTGATCAAAAAAATTAAATGCGTCCATTACCATCTCTTATTTAATAAGATGTTAGGTATTTTATTTCAAAAGGTGGCAGAAAAAGTTGAATTACCTGGTATCTTTTTAAGGAAAACTTGATCTCTCTACAATATTCAGGTTTCATGTACATTTGCTAACAAGACTAGCAAAAGACCCAGGTAACAATAATCTTATGTGGGGGTAAAGAATTAAGCTACTTTCTTGAGACACACACACACACACACACACACACACACACACACACACACACACACACACACACACGGGGTATGGAATTAAATCATTTTCTTGAGATGAATACAAACATGTATGCATAACACACATTATGCATATATGTAGACATGTACATATGAATTATATGATGGTTTTTGTTCCTTACACATGGATTTTTAGAGTGATATAGGTGCATTCTGAAACATATCCTATAATGAATGTCTAAATCTCCTTTACCCTAAAAAATACTCTTCTCAGAGATAATTCCCCCAAGGCTATAGTTAATTTTGAGTGTTTTGAGAGCTGCCCATAAGGAAAGTCTATCTTGGGGGGAAGTATTAGCTATAGCTGTTTTTGCCTATTTATTTCATATACTTACTATATATAATATGTATATAATTTCACTATTATTCTATATAATATATATGTTTATAAGTATATAAATTATACAAACATACATACTACATTTATATACATATAAATACATATTTTTTATTTAGTGACTTTGGGGATAGTGTGAATGGATGCAAAGTACCCTCTTCACATATTGTAAGACCATTGCTAGTGGTCAACTTCTTGGACATGTTCAAAAGGCCTAACACTACATTTTTTTCTCTTTTAAAATATGCTTCCTCAGGCCTTTCCTTTGCTCTTGCTGTTTAGCTAAGCACACTAGGAAAGAAATATAAAGACTATGAATTATATGTGATACATTATGACGTGTACTTCTGCTTTTGTAATTTAAAAAAATGAAATCACAAGTTTATACACAAACTTCTATCACCACATCTATTTAATTTTAATTATCATTTACCAACCACTCAATTCTTATAACCTTCAATTAATTCTAAACCACTGAGTAACATTCTCTTCAAATTTATATCTATTTCTCTTTGCTACCCCCCAATGTAACTTTGTTCCAATTTGACACCATCAGTGTATCAGAATAAAACCTCATTATAAAATGCCTTATTATCTATTTAGTTATAAAGAATTATAAAAATGACCTCTTACAAATATTTCACACCTCATAATCACCCTATGAAGTGTGACACAAAGGTAAAAAAGGCTTGCCTTGTATTAGCAGAACTAGAAACTGGCAGAAGTATTCTGGCTCTTATTTCAATGTTCTTTCTATACTATTTTCCCTCCCTGGCCAAATGATGGCATCTTTGTGTATAGTATATCCCTAAACACACAATATCGCAAATCATGTGGTTATGCAGTATTGCAGTGTGCAATGCATTTTATAATTACATGGCATTAAAAAGAAATGATTCATCAGACTATTATCCCAAAGGACTGTCGAAGATATTTAGGAGGAATCTTTAGAAATGATTCTAAATCAGACTAGAAATCACAAATATTTAAAGAATTTGAACACTCACTGCTTCTTTTCTTGGTCCCCAAAGTTTGGCCATCTTCTAAAGAGTGTGAACCTGCTGAAGAACTGACTTGACTATCTTGATGGGGGAGTTGAAGAAATCCTTCACTGGAGTCTGAGCAGGTAGGTGTTAATGTTAGAGATTTCTGATGTTCCCGATTAATATCTTTCTTAGACTTCATCAATTTCCTCATTTTCAGAGTAATCCAGTTGCCTCTCCTAATAGTTTAAAAAATCTTATCAGCCTAAAATTCAACATATAAATCCTTCATAAAATTAGATATCTTAACTTTTTTTGTCAAACTATGAATGAATAAATTTGGCTAATGGTACCTTCTAGGAGGAGATGGGTCAGAAAATTTGTATTGATCCATTATTTTTTCTTCTAGTTTCTCTTTTTGTCTTCTTAATTCATTTAACTTCTCACTATAACAACAAAAATTACATGTTAGGATGGGTATCATAACAAAAAATCTATGCTATTTCTATTATACTATGGTGCTGCTCATTTCGGGAACAAGGGGAAGAGAAAAATTTAGTAAAGGTGAATCATGGTTTAATACTAAGAAAATTAATTCACTGAGATGCCCAGGTTAAAATCCCTGATTTTACCAGATTCCTCTATTCTCAACAGATCCAATTTAGTCCTGTCAGTTCTCTCTCTCATATCTATCTTTGTATTTGATCTCAACTTACAACTGCTTGTGATTTTTCAATAGATCACTGCAACAGCCTTCTTAAAATTTACTAATCCCTATTCTCAAAGCTCAAATTCATACTCTAGAAAAATGTTATCGGTGGTTTAAAAAAAATACAAATTCCATCATATTATTCTCCTGTTCAAATTTTTCAGGGACTCCTTTGTATGGCATAGAGAAGCCTTTGAGAAGTGGCCCCTGAGTATTTAGCCACTATTCCGGTGTTCCTCCTTTCTCAGTTTTGCTCCAGGCAATATCAATTTCTTTTTAGATCTTACACCATACTATAACATACTTCGTGTTTTTACATTGTTTGCTCTCTTGGCCTGGTATACCTCCTCAGGTGAGCTCATATTGAACTTTTAAGTCTCAGATCAAGCAACCATCTCTGTAAAGTCCTCTTTGCCTCTCCCAGACTAAGGTACCCCTTTTTACTATGTTTGCTCTATTTCTATGACCTCCTACACATACCTCCATTATAGCAATGATTTGTATTGCTTCCTTTATATTACTTGTTCTTTAAGAGCAGAACCCACATATATAAACCTTGTACTTCTGGTTCCTAACATAATGTGTGAAGCATAAGCATTCAAAAAAGTATATATTGAAATAATAATGTCAAAAATCAGGAAAAATTAGCATTGAGTTTCTCTGCCACTGGGTATGGCAATGATGAAATCACGCATAATATTTCAGAGTGCAAAATTATTTGGTACCTACATGTACTGTCTTTGTTCAACATGAAAAAGATCCTTGCTTTCCATATTTTGTTCCAATAGTTTTCTGTTCTGTAGCATTAATGTCTGAATTTGATCTAGCAGATGTCGATTTTCTTCTTCTAAATTTCCTTTGAGTTGACTCAGCAACTGTTTAAAACAAACATTTATTTTTTAAAATACCAACATTTAAATTCAACATAAATCACCCAAAACATCTGAAAAATAGAGTACTTCACAAAGACTTGAGACTTCTACTATTTGAGCAATTAGATGGTTACACATTGACCATAACATGAATGATTTATTTTAGAGATGACAGCTAGAGTGCTGGGTTCTGTGTTCTACCCATATATTTCCTTAATTCTGATGAACACTGGGTTTTAACATATAATAAATTATCTAGTTCCAAAAGCATAGCTTTCTTCAAAACTGTTTAACACACAGTCTGAAAATTCAATTCAAATCTATGGCCCTCTATTTAAGTAGCTATGAAAACTGGACAACTTATTTTATTTTCTTAGTTTCAATGACTTCATCTATATAATAAGGATAATAATTTCCACCTCAACCAGGGTCAGGTGAGAATCCTGGCCACAGGAACCTTCACTTTATCCATAGTTGGTCAGGGCCCCAGGACCCCACCCAGAACAGAAGCTGCTGTGCATTTGCTGAATGAATGAATGATGCTCATTTAAGAATCAAGGTCAGGGCAGACACATTCCAGTAAATTCAAAAGTTTAGGGAAAGGATTAAAGATGGTGAAGTGAGAGGTGAGACAGATGCCTCCTCCTAAAACCACATACAATATGAAAATATAATTAATACAACTAATTCTGAGAAAGCAACAGGAAAGAAGGCTGTGCCAGATTGCATTCACGTGGAGAAAAGAACAGACCTCATGGAACAGGGTAACGTACCAAAGCTGTGACCTGGCGGGACCCAAGTACTTGCCTCACCCCAGCTCACTGGCGGGAGGAAGAGAAACGGAGCAGGGAGGGACTGGAGGCCTGGGACTGCTGAACACCTAGCTCTGTAGATCTGCTCTAGGAGCACAAACCTACATTTCATGGTGTTCTCGTGATTAGTGGAGTTGGAAAGCTAAGACAGGTGGAATACCTGGAGAGACTGATTCCAGCGGCTTATGGAAAACAGTGATCCATATCCAGCTGCTCTGGGACAAAAGAAAGACAGGCAGTCTGAGAGACTTCCTAACAGTGAGAGGGCTGCTAAAGGGGCAAGGATGGCACAGAGCTTACTGCTCAGGAGAAAGGACAGGTAGACAAAATTGTCTGGACACACTCTGCCCAGCAGGTTTGGAGCTTTCAGGATCTTCAGGTGCTCCATCCCCCTGGCTGGATATGCATTCCAAGTACCCCCATTGTGACATGCAGCCTGCTACGCCATCCTCCTGGCCAGCCCACCCCTGGCTCACAAACCGGCAGCCCCTGCCATGGTATCAGGCCAGCCAGAGGGAAGCCCGCCTACAGCAACTACAATCGCAAAGCATAGAGGCTTGCACCTGTGTGCTCAGTTCCCTGGTTCTGGCAGTGGAGACAGGCATAGCAGCTGGGAAACAGGAAACAGCTCTTTCCTCCCCACAAGCACCAACACCGCTCCCTTGCAACTCCCAACAATGCTTCAGGGGCTGAGCAGCTCCAGAGAGTAGAGCTTCTGGGCACTAGAGGGTGCCACATACAAATATAAAATGTCAAAGAAACCTGGTTCAAACCAAAATCATACAAACACCAGAAAGAGAGTCAAATGAAACCAATCTCATCAATCTTCCAGAAAAGAAATTTCAATATAAAAATCATAAACATGCAAATGGAGGTACAAAAAAATATCCAAGAACTCAGGAAAACATTTCAGTCAGATATCCAATCATTAAGGAATACAATGGAGGGTTTTAAAAGCAGATTAGATACAGTGGAGATGATAAATTAAATAGAAATTTGAGAAGAGGAATACAAAGAAGCTGAGGCACAGAGAGAAAAAAGGATCTCTAAGAATGAAAGAATATTGAGAGAACTTTTGACCAATCCAAATGGAACAATGAAATTCAAACCAAGACAGACAGAAATCTTGTTGTTGAACTTTTCCTTTATCATTAAAAAGCAGTTAAGCAACAAATATAAACTGATTTAAACAGTGTTGTTTTTTTTTGCTAGTACTTCTTTTTAACTTTATAGTGTTCAAACTAAAAGGTGAAATCCTTTACTTTTGAATACATACCTTAGGTTTGAGAACTTGGGGAAAAAGTATACACATCCATTCACTTTTTAATAATGAGCAAGAACTTCAGTGCATATTTCTTCTTATGAATGTATGTTGGATACAACATTCACTCCCACCCCAAAAACCTCTGTCCCAGTGGAAAAGGCTTAAGATATTCATCTGAAGAACTAGGGGGCATTCTTAGAAGTTCAGGCATAAGAACCTGATGTCTGTCTATTAGACTGTAGAACACAGAATAAAACAAAAGGCTAATAGTGGTCTCTCTCAATGCCTCTTCAGCAGAAATGAAGACTTCCCAATATGATTTTCTGCCAGAGTGCTTAAGGAACTTAGAGGATTATCATATATATAGTATAGAATAGGGAAAGCAAAAAAGAGCCAAGCATGCTATCTTCCAAATATACACCAACCATTTTTCATAGGACCTATTACCAACCTACCGTTATAAATCTCAAAATTATTTTCAACACATAGATTTAAGCAACTGCCAATTGTTCAGTGTTGATTTTTAAGTTAAACCTGATTTGCATTCTCTAGGTTAGAGGTTAAAATTTATAAGACTTTGGAATTTTTAAGGTCTGGGTTTGAATCCAGCAATCTGATTCTGCCATTTATTAGCTGTGATCCTGAACCTCAGTTTCCTAATCTAATGAAGAGAATAACTATAAAGAACTGCTCATAAAAATTACACAAATATACAGAAATACAACTAATGAAGTCCTTAGCTCAGTACTTGGTACTTAGTTAACATTCAATAAGTAGTAGCTACCATGCTTCCTATTTTACTTAGCATTCAGTATTAGTCTTGATCAAATATTTTAATATTATTTTGAAACAGAAGTATAACATTATAATGTAATAAGTCAGATATCACATGGAAGCCTTATTACCACAACTTCTTTAAAAAAAACAATTCATATTTACTTCTTAGTTTAAGAAAAGAAGGAAACTTGTAAACTATAGTTTTAATTCCAAATTTCAACTTTGAACCAGATGATGCAAATCACTAATGGTTCCAATAAAAAAAAGCCTTGAGTTAAAAATACATAAAATATTTGTCTTAAATCTAAGTAGTTATATTTACCTCTTGTAATGTAACCAAAGTTTTTATTTCAATAGATGCTCTTTTCATGAGCTCCTTATTCTCTTTCACTAATTCTTTCAGATGGATGTAGGATTCTTTATAAACACCAATCTCTTTGAAGAGGGTTTTATTTTCTTTTTCCAAATTTCCAATTTTCACATTATTTTCTTCTAATGTAGTATCTTTTATTTCTGTTTGTTGTCGGAGTCTCTTATTTTCCTTCTCCAATTGTTTCTTATCCTTTTCTAGTTGAGAAGTCTCTTGCTCTAATGACTTATTTTCTTTCTCTAACTGTTCTAGTCTTTTGCTAGATACTTTTAACTCTTTTAGGTTTTTTTGCAATGTTTGATTTTCCATCTCTAAGAATTGAATGTCATTCTCTAATTGCTGAATTTTCTTCTTACTGTTTTCTAGATCTTTCTGTAGCCTTTGATTTTTGGTATCTAAACCCTGGTAGCTAACTTCCAAGCATTCTGTTTTCTTCAAAGTTGCTTTCATGAGCTCTAAACCCTTCTTAAGCTGTTCTTTTTCACTTCCCAGTTCTTTATTTTCTAGTTGTAGCTGAGCCATTTTCATGCTTGCACACTTCAAAGATTCCACATTCTTTTGCAGTTCTAAGTCTTCCTCGTCAAGTTGGGAATTCTCTTTTTCTAGGGATTGTAACTGTAAAGGAAGATTTTGAAAGCTATGCATTTGAAAGCTCATGTCTTTCAGGAGTTTATAATGTATTCAATATTACTCAAAATGACCTTTAGCTATATATAGTTACATTTTTAATGTCAAATATGAATACTGGTGAAATATACACACATATTACTTGGATTTCTTCGATAAGTCTTTAATTAAATAAATTTTGCCATGTATATATAATTAGTCTTCAGGAAATATTGCTCTATTTTACATGTGTGTGTGTGTGTATATATATATATGGGTGTATATGTATGTATGTGTGTATTCATTCCCCAAAAGAATTCTAATTTGCGAACATCAAAATAACAAAATCCCCTGGAACATCTGAACTAATCCATCCAATTTATATCATGGCCTAATGTACTGGTTCTCAAAATTCAGGATGTTAAACAATCCCTTAAGAACTTACAGAAGTACAGATTCATGGTTGGCTATAGAATTTTTGTTCTGTAGCTCTATGGAAATCTGTATTCTTATAGGTGGCCTGAGGACTATACCTATATAATATAAAACAAATCATTTTACTTCTAAAAAGTAAATAGAAAATTTAAAATAGGAAGTCTTTCAATCTATCTAGTTTACTCAAGCATAAAATGAGAATGACCAATCAACACTTGAAAGCGAATGTGAAAGTACCCAGAAATGTTGCTACCACCAATTCTCCCTTCTCAGTGAGGGTAGAGTACAGGGGTGTTTCCCTCCGCCTCTACTCAGGGACTTCAGAATCTGTAGGCCTCTTCCACAGATACTTTAACGCACAGGTATGGCAAAATTTTACACCAGAAGATAATTAAGCATAATGGCAATTTAAAAAATTTTAAGCTTTCCCTTCAACTTTCCTAAAATATGACAGAAAATTATGTAAAACCGTAGTTACTTGAAAATCTAAAAAATTCTAAAATATTTCCCTTTGATGTTCTATGACATTTTGTTTGCATACATTTTAAAATAACTTCAATAAGTTAAATACATTGCTAATAGGAAATTTATTTAAATAGTTAAGAATTCTAAGAATTTTGATCATTTTATGTACAGGAAGTTTAATTTTTCTACTTTAACCTTAACATCAATGGAAGATAATCTCACATGGAAAAAAGTCTTCCCATATTATCTCGAAAGCATCAAGTTGCAAATCTTATCCAATCCAGGAACTCAAGTCAACATTAATTTCCATGTTCAGGAAGCTTTTAGCTATTAATAACTAATGGTTCTACCTTTACAGATTGAAATATATGGATAACAGGTATTCAATTACACTTGTTTTACGTCAGTGAAATTCAAGTGAAACATTCAGTTTACAAGACATCTTTCATGCAATGACTTTATCAGAAATTGCTAGAATCACTAAGAATTTACAAATTAGACTGCAAAGCTAATTTCAAAATCAAATTATAATTTCCAGATCCAACTATAATGACAACCAAAATTAAACTTCCAAATACTAAATGGCTACTCCTACACTTTAACACTATATTGGTTGTCAAATGCTTATTAATTGGTTAATGGATTAAAGATATAAAAAATGTTTTAAATGAGTAAAAATTTTTTAAGAAAATCAAGGAGTCTTTTCACATTACCTAAGGCAGTGGTTCTCAAAGCATGGTTCCAAAACAACAAGATGAGCATCGCCTAAGAATTTCCTATTAATAAGAACTCTCAGCCCTTACCCGTGACCTACCAAATCAGAAACTCTGGGCAGGGGGCTCAGCAATCTGTTTGAACAAGTCTTTACAATGATTCTGATGAATCTATAGTTCAAAACCACTATTGTGGGGAGATTTTCATAACCAAGTCTAGAAACCCAGAATCTATCAAAGGGAAAACTAGACATGGTTGACTACATATAGAAATAAAAACTAATTTGTAAAGACATATGTGTAAGAGTATTTATTGTAATACTGTTCCCAGTGACCAAGAACTGGAAACAAATTGAAAGCACATTTGGGGGAAAAAATGTGATGACAGGTGTTCCTGAAAGAAAACATCATGTGTGTTCCTATGACATGATTCTACTTATATAAAATGTGTGTGTATGAGTGTATGCAGAAAGATATGCAAAAATAAGTTACTTGGATCTATCACACAATTGGATATTTCTGATTCAACCAAGCCTTATTAAAATTCAGGTTTTGTAATGCCTAAATTGTGGTCTCTAAACCATTTACCACTGAAAGGAACAAAGGCTTTTTGGAGAAATGACTGTTTACAGGTCTCAGGCAAGAAAATATTTAAGAGGAGCCTAGAACATTTTGTCATGGCAGAAAGCAAGGTAGCTTACAAGGAGTGCTAAGGTCATGTCCTAAGGATTAAGGAACCATTTTAAAGAGTTATGACAGTAACAAATGTAAATGCAGTGGAATGAAACACTTCAAATATTTTAAATCCATGAGTTCATAATGACAGTAAGACAGACAAACTCATTCATTATCTCAGGATATGAGAGAACTAATTCCTTACTTGGAAACTTGTAAATAAAGGGAAAGAATCAAACATTCATCCTGCTTTTTCCATTGAGCTATTCCTCAGAGTAACCAATGATTGATTTTTGTTTAAACCAATAATTTAGAGAAAGTTTTTCTTTAAGAAATAATCTAGCTACCAAATTAAGAATATCAAAATTTTGAAACTTTGATTAAGGGATCCAAGCATATGATTACCATGACAACTAACATCACAAAAAGAGAGAGAGACAACCAATCAATCAATGTGCCCCTTGATTGAAATATACTCCTTATGAATATTCTTACTAAAAACTCAGTTTGAACCTGATTATGCCTACAGATTAAACAAGAAATACAGGAGACAAAAGAACTTGCTAAGTGACACAAAAAGGATGCAAGGAGCAAAATCTAGATTGTGGGGTATAGTTAGACAAAAATCCTGGTTTTTTCAAGAGAAAACTGCTAGGAAAAAAGAATAAATCTATACACTAAAAAAAGACTTAAGAGTCTTTTTTGATTGAACATATTCATCTTACTTGGATTTAGATTACAACAAAATGTTAAAAAAATCATAACAGATATAAGGGTGGGGAGATTTCCATAACCAAGTCTAGAAACCCAGAATCTATCAAAGGGAAAACTAGACATGGTTGACTACATATAGAAATAAAAACTAATTCATAAAGACATATGTGTAAGAGTATTTATTGCAATACTGTTCCCAGTGACCAAGAACTGGAAACAAAAGCGAAAGCATATATGGGGGAAAAAATGTGATGACAGGTGATCCTGATAAAAGCATCACATGTGTTCCTATGACATGATTCTATTTATATAAAATGTGTGTGTATGAGTGTATGCAGAAATATATGCAAAAATAAGTTACTTGGATCTATCACACAATTGGAATGCTTCTGATTCAACCAGGCCTAATTAAAATTCAGGTTTTGTAATGCCTAAATTGTGGTCTCTAAACCATTTACCACTGAAAGGAACAAGGGCTTTCTGGAGAAATGACTGTTTACAGGTCTCAGGCCAGAAATATTCAAGAGGAGCCTAGAACATTTTGTCACGGCAGAAAGCAAGGTAGCTTACAAGGAGTGCTAAGGTCATGTCCTAAGGATTAAGGAACCATTTTAAAGAGTTATGACAGTAACAAACATAAATGCAGTGGACTGAAACACTTCAAATATTTTAAATCCATGAGTTCATAATGACAGTAAAACAAAAAAAAACTCATTATCTCAGGATATGAGAGAACCAATTCCTTACTTGGAAACTTGTAAATAAAGGGAAAGACTCAAACATTCATCCTGCTTTTTCCATAGAGCTATTCCTCAGAGTAACCAACGACTGATTTTTGTTTAAACCAATAATTTTTAAGAGAAAGTTTTTCTTTATAGAAATAATCTAGCTACCAAATTAAGAACAATATCAAAATTTTGCAACTTTGATTAAGGGATCCAAGCATATGATTTCCATGACAACTAACATTACAAAGAGAGAGAGAGAGACAACCAATCAATCAATGTGCCTCTTGATTGAAATATACTCCTTATCAATATTCTTACTAAAAACTCAGTTTGAACCTGATTATGCCTACAGATAAAACAAGAAATACAGGAGACAAAAGAACTTGCTAAGTGACACAAAAAGGATGCAAGCAGCAAAATCTAGATTGTCGGGTATAGTTAGACAAAAATCCTGGTTTCTTCAAGAGGAAACTTGCTATGAAAAAAGAATAAATCTATACACTAAAAAAAGACTTAAGAGTCTATTATTTTGTAATATATTAAAACCAGAGTCTTTTTTGATTGAACATATTCATCTTACTTGGATTTCGATTCCAACAAAATGTTAAAAAAATCATAACAGATTTGGAGAAACTGAAATACTGACCAAAACACATTAATTTTTTAAGTGTGATGTCACTGTTCTTGTTTTCTGAAAAAATTTCTTACTTTTTAGCAATACATACTGAGATATTTATTGGTGAAATTATACCAAGTCTAAGACTTATTTCAACATCATCTAGTGGTTGTAGGGAGAGTAGACAGTGTAGAAGTAAGAAATAATTGTTGAAACTGAATAATAAATATAGGAGTTTATTGCTCCACATTTATGTGTCTGAAAATTTTCATAGTAAGGTAAAAAAATGAGAGTACATTAAAAACTGGAAAATAAGTACTCTATGGCAGTGCTTTAATTGATACTTTTACATATATTTTTTTGACATTACATGAAAAATTAATTTGTATTTACCTTTTTATTTAGTCTTTGATTTTCTTTCTCAACTTTCAGGATTTTGGAAGTGTTACCTTCTGCAGAATCTATACTACTCCGAAGTTCTTCTACAGTTTTTGTCAAACTCTGGTTTTCCATTTCTAATTTCAATAAACTACTTGATGTCAATTCATTCACCTCATGGCCCAAAGATTTTTGTGGTACTAAAATATTGAAAAATATATATTTGGTAAATCTGTGTTTACTCTTTACTAAATTGTTGAGTCTAAATGTACTATATCACCTGGTCCTGAACTTTATAAAATTTTCTACAGTGATACAAGATATACACAATAAAAAAATAACATATTAAAGACAGGTAAATCTTGAATTTTTATTGCATCCACAGACATTCTAGTGGGGGAAAAATGTACAAAATTTACACTGAAGAGACTAGAGTTTCAGCTCTCATTCCATGAGAAATCAATTACTTGACAATGTCCCAGCCACTTTAAGTTCAATGAGTCTTAGGTTACTTGCGCAAAATATAGTTATTGCCCTGTGTGCTCTCTCCTGGAGTCATTGTTTGATTCAGGTAAGAAGTATAAAACATATCCTATCCCCACACCTTCAAAAATTAAAGGACAGTTTGGGTTAAAATATCCTAATCTGATTCTGAAAAAGGAAAGACAGCATACACTGGTCACCTTGAAAAAGTCTTTCTCTAAATGAAGAATCCCTAGTAAACCTAAGTGTAAAGAGCAATATGCACTTCACTTTGCCAAAGAAAAAAAACTAAACAGATTTGAGCATTACATTTTTTAAATTAAGAAAACTCATTTTCTAGTTCTGTAAATGATACTCTTCGGTAAGCTAAAATAGTTATTTTTAAGTAACCCTGCAGCAGACTCATTTAATCTGTTAATTAAGCAAAAATATTTACTTTGATGATATAAAAATATTAGGGTTTACAAATAAAATATGACACCTATAATTTATTTTAAAGTTCTCTATTTCAGGAAAGGCAACAGAAGTATAGGAGGGCATTTCTAGGTCTGTCTACTTTTGTGTATATTGAAATTCTCCATCATAAAAAGTAAAGAAATATGAACACACAAAATAATATCCCCACAAGCATACATTCTTTCCAAATTGGGTATGATAGACTATCCCTTATATTTTAAGCAAAGAAAGCCTCGGTTCTTCTATCTAGCTTTTATTCTAGCCTGCATATTATTAATCTTTTAAAAGTTGATGTACTAGGGAGTCACTCACTTCTAAAATTCCATTAGTTGTCCAAGTCTTCTTTCCTAAAACTCTAGTTCATGATTTGTAGTCATGCATTTCAATTAAACAAGATTAAGCTATTAATACAATATACCTTAGCAATACTTTTAATACAGTAACTGTGTTTGAAAGAAGTTTCAGGTCAGACACTGAAGGATTAAAAGGATACTTACAACATATTTTTAACAACATGGGGATCTACCCATGTTATAATCCTAGGTGAAAAAGAACCTGAATTGTATACACACTGATCTGATAATGTCTAAAATATCCATGCATGTGTAAAAAAAATTCTGGAAGCAAATTTTGTGAAATGTAAAAGTGACTTAAGAAAGTATTAGTTTCTTTAATTTCTCACTTTATATTTTTCCACATTTTATATTTTTTCCAAATTTTCTATAAAGAAAGTCCCTTGTATAACTTAAAAAACCAAACTACAACCCATTAGAATGGATTTGCAGGTCTATAACCCCAAGTAAGGATGATGACGATGATATAATGATAATTATAAACATTCAAATGCTTACTATTTACCAAGCACTATTTTAGGGGCATCATAAGTATTAATAAATTCAATCTTCACAACAGCCCTACAAGGTATTCACTGTTATTGTTCTCACTAAACAGATGAGAAAACTGTAATTTTAACTACTTTAGTATAGAAAACATTTAAGTCTGAATTGCTTTCCTTGTAACAATTTGTAAGGAATACAATAAAAAATGTTTCACAGGTATTTTAAGAAACGCATCTCAGCAAGTTCACTGGCTGAATATTATCACTTACGACAAAGGGAATTCCTAGAATTTGGAATTGGGTTCTCAAGTATAAGATTAGGAAAAGCCTAATGGTAATAAATATGACAAATCATCTGTGAAAGTAATTACTCTGTTTGCACCAGACTATAAGCTTTCTCAGACCTTATATCTATGTCACCACTGTATCTTCAGCCTGTATTTTACACATGGTAGATGCTTATTAAAATATATGCAAAAGGAAGGAAAGCAGGTGAAATAATCTAATACTGATTAACTGAGGAATTATGGAACCAGTCTAATTCAAATAAATGTGACCTAGATGTAATTTCAATAAACATAGCAGTAGTAGCATTCTCAAAGCTAAATAAATATATGTATATGCTCAGCTTAAGCAAGAGGACAAGTCAATATGGAGCCTATGAAAAAGAGTCAAAAGTTAAAAATTTATCTAAGGGTCTTTCATCATCTCCAGGGTATAACTGGGCTGGACTGGTTGGTAGGTATAATCCCAAATTGCTGATTACATATATTGATGAAAATAGCCATTAAGATCCTTAACTTGCTTTTATAAATCTGGCTACATATTCTCCTAAGAATCTTTTCTCTGCATTTTGACTTTCTACTTAGGTTTGCCTCTAGTCAAAGAACAGGTTGACCAGCTAAGTATGACTTTTCTGTACTATCCAGTAGATGGCTATCTTTTGCAAAATAAATTAATAAACTGGTATTCCAGCTTCCTGTGATATTAACATGAAATAATGCCTAATCAACTGATCAAATCTGTCACTGCACTTATTAAGTTGAGTTGTAAGACATGTAAAGATAAGGACCAGATCCAGGAATGTGGTAATTAAAATTACTCTAGATATCATATCTAGAGAGACATCTCCAGGCAGGGAATATAAAACTGCAATAAAATATCCAGAAATGTAAGCATAAATATGACTTCATTTATTCACTCATCATTTTAATTAAAACGATATAGGGAATACCTTCAGAAAGTTAACTAGTTCTGTATATTTGTTCCAGCTGCCAGCCAAGATGAATGATTCATCCATACTCTGTTTCTGTGCCATTTCCAAAGTCATATTTTCTTCTATTAATTCTTCTATCTTTTTTCTATCCATATCACGTTCCTTTTTCATTGGCAGGGAGGAGACAGAGAAAAGAAGCTAAGAAACTGTACAATTTCAAGCTAATATTTTATTATTACTCTTATTTATCAGAAACTGAACAATATGAGGATAAATTTTGAGTTCCTTAAAATTTTTGACAGTTTGAAGGTAATAGTTGGTTACAATCATTACTACTAGTCATTACACTGAGCAGGTGTCTGACATCCTTAAAAAGTAATCTCTGGGCCACTGAAAATTTCTTCATATGAATATACCATTTTACTAGTATAATAAATAATTTCCTACCCAATGCTAAATTTTAGCAAATAGTTTTATTTCTGTATTTTTAAAGGCATGTTTACACAATAGTGTATTAGGGTTTTTGGAAAAGTAGAAGATAAAATTAATAAATAATAATTTTGAACAAGAGCATAAAATTCTACCACTCCTGTATTTATATAAAATTTATATGTAATTTATTTATATATAATTTATTTAGCAAGTTCTCTGTTAAGGCCTCAAGGGCACTAGCCATCTTTGTCATTACAATGAAATTAGAAGAAGCTTGTATTTTTTTTCTTAGAGGCCATGTTACCTTAAAATACTTACCATTTCCATATCATGCAGTTTAGCTTTTAGTTGTAAATTCTCTTTTTCTAATTCATGCAATTTATCAGAACGAGCTCGTGTGCGTTCTAATTGGTCCTCCAACATGGTTTTTGTTTCAAATAAAACTTGATTGTCTTCTTTTAATTCCTAAAAGCATTTCAAATAGGCTTTATTTACAACAAATAGGTTAACATCTGTTAAATTTTCTAACTCAGACACATAAAAATTCTTTATTGTAAAATAAGACATTAAGCTGTCTTCACCAACAATTCTGTGCAAGAGTAAAGCGCTGAGGAATATAAATACAGCTGGTGTTTTCTTGGTTTCATATTTCCCCCCAGAATTTAAGCTATTATGCAAACAAAATCTGAGTACATACATTAGAATGAGTAATAGTATTATAATTTCACATGAAATTATCAGGATACATTTAAACTCCTTAATCACTAGGATAAGGAACTACGTATAAGTAGTCTTTCAAATATTTAAGACACAATATCAATAGAACCAGGGCTTTATTTATTTACTGAAATAGATTTAAAGACTTCTCTCTACTTAAACTATACCTTGAAAGTATATGGTTTTGGGTTTTTGAGTAAAATATAAGACTCACATAATGTCTGCAGCATATAAACTAAAGTCAAGATAAACCATATTAAAATGGTGGCATTTATAGATCATAAAGTATCTAAAGATTCCTTAGCAGTGCCGTGCATACATGCATTTCAATAACTATTGAAGAATTAATATGCACCCTATTTCTGAAGTCCACTAGATCTACTTACTGGTAAAATGTCAGGCTAAAATGTCCTAACTACTGAAAAAAATTTTTTTATTGAAGTTAGTTGATTATAATATTATATTAACTTCGGTGTATGATGACAATTTGACAATAATATATGTTATGAAATGCTCACCACAGTAAGTGTGATTACTGTCACCAGAGAAAGCTGTTATAGTATTACTGACTACATTCCCTATGCTGTTCTTTTCATGTCCATGACATATTATTTTAAAATTGGAAAGTTTGTACCTCTGTATCTCCTTCACCTATTTCGTCCATTCTCCCCCACCTCCATCATCTATGGCCCCACCAGTTTGCTCTCCTTTGTTTATAGTCTATTTGTTTTGTTTTGTTAGATTCCACATGCAAGTGCAATCATACGGCATTTGTCTTTCTCTGGCTTATTTCACTTAGCATATCCCATAGGCCCATCCATGCTGTTGTGAAAGGCAAGATTTCATTCTTTTTTAAGACTGAGTTATACTCCAGTGTGTATACATACCACTTCTTTATCTATTCATGTATAAATAGACATTTAGGTTGCTTCCATATCTTGGTTACTGTAAATAATACTAGAGTATACATTGGGGCACATATATGTTTTTAAATTAGTATTTTTGTTTTCTTTGGGTAAATACCCAAAAGTGGAATTACTTGGTTGTGTGGCATTTTTAATTTCTTAAGGAACCTCCATTCTGTTTTCCATAGTGGCTGCACCATTTTACATTTCTACCAACAGTGCACGGTGACAGTTCCCTTTTCTCCACATCCTCACCAACCCTTATCTTTCTGACACTAGCCACTCTGCCTAGCATGAGGTGATATCTCATTGTGGTTCTGAACTGCATTTCCCTGATGATTAGTGTTGTTGGCCATCTGCATGTCTTCTTTGGAAAAATGTCTATTCAGTTTCTCTGCCTACTCCTTAATTGGACTATTTGTGTTTTGGGTATTGAGTTGTATAAGTTCTTTATATCTTTTGGATATTAACCCCTTATTGGAAATATAATTTGAAAATACATTCTCCCATTCAATAGACTATCTTTTCATTTCATTGAGTTTCCTTTGCTGTACAGAGGGTTTTTAGGCCAGTGTCCAAGAGTTTACTGCCTATGTTTTCTTTTAGAAGTTTTATGATTTTAGGTCTTACATTTAGGCTTTTAATTCATTTTGAGTTTACTTTTGTATACAGGGTAAGAAAGTAGTCCAATTTCATTCTTGTGCATGTAGCTGTCCAGTATTCCTAACACCCTTCATTAAAAAGACTCTTTTCCCCATTGTATATTCTTGACTCCTTTGTCAATATATATAAATTAACATAGAAGCATGGGTTTATTTCTGGGTTCTCTATTCTGTTCCATTAATCTGTGTGTCTATTTTTGTGCTTATACCATACTATTTTAAATACTATATCTTTGTACTATAATTTGAAATCAGGGAGCATGATAACTCCTGCTTTATTTTTCTTTTTTCAAGAATGCTTTGGCCATTCAGGGTCTTTTGTGGTTCCACACAAAGTGTAGGATTATTTATTCTAGTTCAGCAAAAATATGCCATTGTTACTTTGACAGGGATTGTACTGAATCTGTAGATTGCTTTGGGTAGTATGGTAGTAAAAATATTCATTTTTCCAATCCATAAGCATGGTCTATCTGTTCAATTATTTGTCATCATCAATTTTTTTCATCAATGTCTTACAGTTTTCAGAGAACTTTCATTTCCTTGGCTAAATTTATTCCTGGATATTTAATTCTTTTTGATATAACTGTAAATGGGTTTTCTTCATTTCTCTTTCTGCTAGTTCATTATTAGTATATAGAAATGCAATAGATTTCATTATTAGTATATAGAAATTCTAATCGTTTCTTGGTAGAGTCTTTTGGGTTTCTATATGAACTATCATATCATCTGCAAATAGTGATAATTTAACCTCTTCATTACTAATTTGGATGCCTTTTGTTTTTTCATTTTCTTGTCTGATTGCTGTGGCTAGGACTTCCAATACCATGAAAAAAGTGGTGAGAGTGGGCATCCTTGCCTCATTCCTGATAGTTGAAGGAAAGATTTTTTCAGCTTTTCACTATTTTGATGCTAGCTGTATGTCATATATGGCCTTTATTATGTTGAGGTACATTCCCTCTCTACCCAATTTGTTGAGAGTTTTTATAATGAATGAATGAATTTTGTCAAATATATTTTCTGCATCTATTGACAGATTTTATCCTTCTTTATGTTAATGTGGTGTATCACACTGACTGATGATAATGAACCATCCTTGCATCTCTAGAATAAACCACAGTTGTTCATGATGAATGATTTTTTATTTTTTAATTCAGCATGCTTATATTTTGTCATGGACTTCTGAATCTATGTCACCAGGAATGAATTAGTTTCTAACTACTTCCACTTATAGTATTTTCACTTCTTGAATTTGCATACAGCTTCCTTATCCCCATAATGAAAGTGAACCAAATTCTCCCATTTACAATGAAGAAACTAAAAAAAGAAAAAAGAATGCAGAAGCAAGCACTGTCAAATTCTAGCTGTCAAACTCAACTTCACATAACACTGAAGCACAACCATTAAGTAAGAAAAATATTCAGAGGGGAGGGAGAGAAAGGGAAGGAGCGTGAGCATGTGTTGAGAGAGCCTTCACTGATCCCACTTTAGTACTCTGCATTGAGCAGCAAAGACAGACACGTTTTACTTTCACTTCTAGGAACATGTTTGAATTAGTAGAGATACACACTTTATTTTGACTATGAGAGGACTCAAGTCTTCCCTACCTATAATGCAAAATAAAGGAATGAAAGAAGAACCCCAAAGAATTCAATGAAATTAGTTATGTCCCCAAACCCTTTTTACAAGTCTAAGTGATATGCTCACCTATCATAAAATAAACACCTGGAAGTATTTACAGTTTGTCAACATTTCAAGAGTTCCTTACATTTATTAAGTGCATTTGAAATGCACTTTGAAAAATCGCAACAATTTCAAAGAAAAAAATTGTGAGTGGCTTAAATTATGCAACATACCTCAGCTCTTGCCTTATAAAATTCAGTATCATGCAGCCTTTCTTTATATCTACTGACTTCACTTTCCAGCTGATCGAGTCTGACTGCCTTCTCCTGAAGTGCATCTAATTCATCTCGGTACATTCTTGCAGAACGAGCATCCGAAAGCAAGTTCATGTTCTAAATATAAATAAGTTTTAATATCTTAATATTGTTTTCTATTTTCAAATTGATAACCTTTAGTTGTACCACTTGATGAATTTACTAAATAATAAAAAAATTGTATACTTTAAAAGTGTGAATTTTATGGTATGTAAATTATATATCTCAAGTTGTTTTTTTTTAAATGAAGAGATAAAAGGTTTTTTAAAACCAAGAATAAAAAGTATTTTAAAATACCTTTTTTAGATATAAATATACAAACTTACACTTACATACAATTTTTCTGTAGTATTCTGTATTAGGAATATGAAAATATTCAGGATATTTTTAAATAAGTGAACCTCTACTTAACACAAATTTTTATGTAATGTTATATATAGGAATATAAAAAGTATTCAGGATATTTTAAAATAAGTGCACTTCTACTTAACATAATCATTTATAATTAACCTAAGGTGAAAAAGTTAAGTTTAAAATACAGGGTAAGAACACAGAAGAGGCAAACTGTATTACTAAAATTCATCATTACTTACTTTGGAAAAATAATGTTTCTATCCAGGTAATCTAACAAAATTCTGCTGAGTTTTTTTTTAATACTTCCAAGGGAATGCTTAGTATTGCATATCTTAATGTCATTTCAGGCAAATTAAAATTCAACCTTTTATAAGAACAGCAGTTACCACAGTGTGATCCAGGGACATCTGTGGGTCCTTGAAACCCTTTCAGGGAGTTGAGTTGAAAACTATTTTCAAAATAATACTAAAACATTATTTGCCCTTTTGCTCTCATTCTCTCACAAGAGTGCAGTGGAGTTTTTCCAGAGACTACATAGCATGTGAAATCTTAAGAGACTCAATACACAAAACAGATATGAGAATCTGGTAGTCTTCAATTAAGCCAGGCATTAAAGATTTTGCAAAAATGTAAAAGTACCAGTCTTCTTAATTTGGGGAGAAGGGGGAATATGGTTATTTGGTTAACATAAATTTTAGCATAGAATGGGTTGTATATTCTTTTTGAATGAATTAATATTTAGTTATTTTAAGTTTTAATTTCAAGTATAGTAAATACCAGTAGATACAATCCACATTAAACATCCTTATTGATTTTCAAGAGTGGAAAAGAGTCTTGAGATCAAAAAGATTGAGAATCACTGTTTTAGACAGAACATACATAAAGAATTGTGCTACCAAAAGTAGAAACAACCACAGCATATTTAGAAATAAATATCATGATTCCCAGTGTCATTCATCTAGCAAGGTTTCAGTTTATGATCCTGCAAGTAGAATATTCTCTCAATTTAAAATGGCACGTTAGGGTAAGGGAAAGAAATAATTGTCCAGCTTACCACAGTCCTACCGTTTATGGTTAAAGAAGACTTCAAGCACTACCTCCAAATGGAAATGAAATCTTATAGTTATTAAAATAAGTGAACTCTTAAACAATCTTGGTTCAAGATTAAAAAACACAAAGCTTTAGTAAACTAAAAATAGTTTTTTTAAAGTAAAAAATTTTTATCTTAGTAAGAAAAAAGTGAAAAAGCAAAAAACATTCTATCATATATAAGTTAACATAAAGCACCATCAAAGAGCAGAGACCTAAGGAGACACATATAACCAGCACAGGTTACAGGTGCTCCAGCTTCCAAGCCCACTGAAGTCAAATGCACATAAAAGAGAAACTTGGAACTGCCCTCGGCCTAAGAGGCTCCTCTGAATCTTAGTGAGGTTGGAGTAACACTGACGTAGAAAAAAGAAAAGTCCAAAGACCTTGATTTCTAATCTTGGCTCTAGCATTTGTGAAGAGAGACACTGAAAAGTCATCACATTTTTTCTTTAAGCATCAGCAACCTCATAATTCATTAAAGTAAAATTTATAAATTATAAGGAGAAAAATTAATTCCCAGTTACTTAGCAGTCCTACATAATAAAAGTTACAGGTACAAACCTCTTGTTGCAGCCTTTTTAATTCTATTTCCATTTGCTCAAGTTCTTCTTTGCAGTCCAATAACTCTTCAGTATTTTCATCTCTTAAATGCAAAAAATATTTATTATATAATAAGCTTACTGCTTTTGAAAACTATGATCATCATCTGCCTTAATACAAACATATTATTATTATTACTAAATATCTAGTTGAACACAGCATTAGCCATAACCCCAACCAAGGGGAGAAAGAGAAAGAAATGGGCATTGGGAATTTGTGATCGGATGTCATTAATCAAACTACCCCTTAAAGTTTTCCAAAGGCTAATAACCTCAGGGATTAATGCCCTCCTAGTTCACAAGGTAGTTTCTCTCTCTTCACCCTTCCTGCCAACCTCCATTCTCACTTCCCTTCTCGCTCTCTTCCTCTGCGTAGTCAAAAACAAATAAGCTGGAAGAGTTTTCATGCAAGGCAATACTATCCGGGTCTGAGACTTACAAGGTTCTCCAAACTATTTTCAACATAGTCAATGGCCTAAAGGAAATCATACACTGCCACACAGATTCCTAAAATCTTTATATCTCTATTGGTTTCTTCCCTGTAGTCTATAAACATCTGCAAATTTCTGCTATTTTTTTTCTCTTTAAATTGCTTTACTTCTACCTCCCATTTTCTATCTCCCCTTGAAGGCCACGCTTGTAAATAAAGTCTCCACTCATTATCTCTACTTTTCCACCACCTGTTCTTTTTTTTTCTTATCATTTGATATTTTTAACTCAACAGGATATTGGAAAAACTTTCACAAAACAATACATACAAGAAAAAGCATAATACATAAATACCATCAATCCATTTCTATATGGTGCTGTTCTCAAAAAACAATCACCAATAGTCATACACTTAGGTTGTTAGCAGTCTTTTAATATTACAAAACTTAATAAATAAGCTTGCACAGCCAAATCTGTATGTCCTGTCTAATCTACATATTATTGTAATACTTAATGTGGTTTTATATTTTTAATCAGCCTCAAATCGTTTTCATAGGAATTTTTATTTTGAAATAGTTATAGACTTAAGGGAAATTGCAAAAATAGTACCTGTTCTCATGTACCCTTCATACAGCTTTCCTCAATGGTGACATTTTATATATTGGCAGTGTAGTATCAAAAGCAGGAATTTGGCATTGGTCCAATACCATTAACTAAATTTATGACCTTATTTCATTTTAAAATCCATTTCTGAAGTAGACAGGAAACAAATAGCATGATTTTACATGTACATACCATGTTCCACATGCTATGCATACCTGTCTAAAGGAACTAGCTTTCCCTAATGATAAATGTTGGCAAATGTCAACAGCCTCACTAGAAAACAAAATTTCATTGGGAATGTAACATGAAAAGAAAAGAAGTATCCAACAAAACAAGCAAAAAACCTAAAGGTACCAAGCTGGAGAGCTTATGTGAAAGTGGCAAGTTGGTGGTAGAAGCAGTGAGAGCTTGAAGCTTTATAGGGAGACAAGTCACAGCATCAGTTTGTCAGGAAGGACACCCTAGGGAAGCTGGCATCTGTGCTAGGACTTGCACAATAAAAACAGAGTTGTATAGGCTGGGATAGAAAGAAAAGGCAATCCAGGGACAACAGTGCAGAGGCAGGAAGGTAAGGGAACCAGGCATCTGGGTCCTTGAGAAAGCATTTCCCAAGTTCCTG